GGGTTTGCAAGACTGTGACCATTTGGAAACAGACCGTCAGTTTTCTTCTTATGGGTTGTTTCGAAACGCCAACTTTTCAGTTACTAATGGAGAACTTAAACATTTGTGCCACCTAGGGACTCCTACCTATAGGCCACGGCTCCCTAAAACACTGCATGCACACTGTAGTGACAGAACGTACATGGTCCTAAGAGGAGCTCTCATCAGATTTGAAAAAGGGTTTTCCACCCTCCTTCCTCCAAAAAGTTAAATTTCCAAGCTTGTGTCTAAGAACATAAAAGGAAAGTGAAAAAAAGTGGGTTTTGTTACATGAGGAGGCATTTCTTGCACTAAGTCTACTTTTGGCCAGAGCCTAATAACTATCTTTCAAAAACAGTGGAGGCAGGAAGACTTAAAGTTTTAGTGTGCAGCACAGGTCCAAGCATACCTGATTTACAACACTGGCCATTAACACGGTGTGCCAGTGATCTTATTCAAAAAAAAAGAAAACTGTAGCATAACCAAAGTAAATGAAAGTGAGCACATCTGGATGGGTACAGGCATTTGGTATATGGGTAGATATAGGTATATACATAGGTAAGAACAGACAGAAATGTCTATAAACCAAACAAAAGACTTACTACTATGGGAGTCAATTCATAGTAACCCCAAGGTGACAAAACTTCACGAAACTAGATTGCCCCATCTTCCTTCCATGGAGCAGCTTGTAAGTTTGAACCACCAACCTGGTTAGCAGTCAAATGTCTTAGGCACCACAGCACCAGAGCTCCTTGTTGTTGTTGTTGTTGTTGTTGTTATGTGCCCTCGAGTCCGACCCGACCGCTTCATAGTGACCCCTCCTTGGGTTTCCAAGGCAGTATCACTATGGAAGTAGATTGCCCAACTTTCCTTCCAAGGAGCAGCTGGTGGGTTTGAACTGCCAGCCGTCTGGTTAGCAGTCAAGTGCCTTTAGGCACTATGCTACCAGAGCTCCCAGAGCTCCTTAGAAATGTCTATGTAAAAAAAAAAAAAAAAAAAAAAAAAACTCACTGCCATTGAGTCAATTCCAACTCATAGTGACCCCCAATGGTTTTCCGAGGTGGTAAATCTTTACAGATGTAGATTATCCTATCTTCCTTCCATGGAACGGCTGCTGGGTTTGAACCACCAACTTTCTGGTTAGCAGCAAAATGCCTTAGGCACTACACCACCAGACCTCGTTAGAAATGCCTATACGAACAAAACACACTGCCATCGAGTTGGGTCTCACTCACAGCAATCCCTCCTCAGGTTTCCGAGGCGGTTTCACTATGGAAGTAGATTGCCCAACCTTCCTTCCGAGGAGTGTCTGGTGGGTTTGAACCACCAATCTTCTGGTTAGCAGTCAAGTACCTTAGGCACTAACCTACCAGAGCTCCTATGCTACCTATAGGTATGTGTAAATAAAAAATATGTGGGTACAGGCACATACGTTTACTGAACACACAAATACTCTTCAGACTTAACCAAATACTTTCCAAGACTGGTTTTCTGGGTTTGAAAGCTTAGGGCCATAGTCTCATGGGACAACTCAGTCAACTGGTATAACACAGTTCTCAAAAATCATGATCTAATGTGAATAGCATCTGGGGTCTTAAAAGTTTGCGAGTAGCCATCTAAGACATAACTATGGGTGTCTACTCGCCAGGAGCAAAACAGTAAGAAATAACCAAAAGCACAAAGAAGAAGCAAGTCTACACAAGCCACAACCTCATCTACCCTGAGACCAGAGCTAGATGGTGTCCAGTTACCAACACTGACCATTCTGACTGGAGTCACAACAGACGGTTCCAGAGAGAATGAGATAGAGAAAAATATAAGGCAGAACTCAAATTTTTAAGGAGGAAAAAAAAAAAGGAAAAGTCAGATTGGAACAGTAGAGGACAAAGGACTTCCTGAAACTACTGCCCTGAGACAATCTTTAAAGCTAGAACTGAGCCTATCCAGAGATGAGTTTTTAGCAAAATAGCAGAATGGTACACAAAAATAAAGGCTATTAACCGTAAAACTGGTGTCCTACTTAAAACTCACCTGGTGGAGTAGTACCTAAGACATGTGACTGATAACTAGAAAGCTGGCAGTTCAAACCCACCAGCCACTCCTCAGAAGGAAGGTTGGGCAATCTACTTCCATAGGGATACCATCTCAGAAACCCAAGAAGGGATCACTGTGAGTCAGATCCGACTCGAAGGCCGTGGTTTTTTGTTTTTTGGGGTTTCTTTTGGTATGAAAATGAAAGGTCAACAATTACTCAAAAGCAAAGATGAAATGATAAAGGGGCAGGGAAACTAGAGTACTGAGAAGGGAACAAACAACACAAAGAGAATGCCAGCACACTGCGATAAATTTAACTAATGGCACTGAACAACTTGTGCAGAAATTGTCAAATGAGAACATAATGTTGCGTAAATTTCCACCAAAAACACATTATTAAAAAGAGAGAGAGAACACTATATGTGGTGCTTGGAACTTAGAGGTAATCTTGTAAATGAAATAAAGACAGCGAAACACACAAAAAAACAGGCTACATCAGCAAGGAGTAAAAAGGAAAAAAAAAGGGGGGGGAATCAATTACAGTAAAAGAGAAAGAACAATCTTCTCTTTCCTTCACATAAGTCTGTTACTATAAAACCTTTCAAATAATTACATGCTTAGGCAAAAGAAGTCAAGCAGAGCCTCACAGGTTCCAACATACAGAATCTGTCCCTACAGCCTACTTTCTAAATTAATATGACTATTTAAATGAGAACTCAAGACTAATGTTTCCAGAAATCTAATGCTTAGTATCATACTACTCACACAATCCCATCACACTGCCTTTTCAACCTTTCAGTTATTCCTAATTTCTCATTTATATTCAGGCTCTTTTTTCCTAATACTTTCATGTACATTTATCATGGGTCTCTTTCTTGAATTCTTCTGGGGGAAAAAAAAAAAAAAAAAAACACTTCATTTTCCTCTGCACCTTTCCATGTATTAAAAATCAAAATGAAAAAGCTGCTTAAAACATCAACTATCACATTACATGTGAAAGAAAGCATTATAACATAGTAGGACCTCAAAAGGGAAAATCATTTTTTCTTTATGGAGAGATACGCTTTTTATGTGTACCATATCCAAATCAACTGAAGCCTGATGCCAGTTATCAAATGCAATTTTGTTTAGGAATTATTTTTACAAAATCTTTTTGTCACTAATCTTGACAAAGGTACTCTTTTGTCACCTCCTGAATAACCTCCTCTAATTCAACTCAGGTATTTTTATGATCCTTTGTATTCTGGAGCAAATTAAATCATTTATCCTTTTTAATTTGCCTACTTAAGGAAGCGTCTCCAACTTAAAAAATAAAAAATCAAATTAAAAGTATAAAAGTATGTTGGCAGAGAAAAACAATCAAGGGTGTATCTTCAAACTGCTAAGTGAAACTATACAGGATATTCAACGGTTGAGAAAACTACATACAAGGAGCTCTGGTGGCACAGTGCCTAAGGCATCTGACTGCTAACCAGTAGGTTGGCAGATCAAACTCACCAGCCACTCCGCAGAAGGAAGATTACTTCTGTAAAGATTTAATGCCTTGGAAACCCAATGGGTTTCAGAATCGACTCAATGGCAATGGGTTTGGTTTTGTTTGTGTGTGTGTGTATGTATGTGTGTATGTGTGTGTGTGCACAGTCAAGGTTTTCTGATTCACATGCAAAGAGAAATGAACTTTTGCTTTTGAATTCTATGGTTAAAGATATGCCCTGAACTTATTTATAAAGTACAGTAGAATGGTTATGAAATGACTATTCTTTAGTGGGCCAGGGAGGGAAGAGAAATGTAGTCACTTCAAGCATCCCTATCAAATCTCTTCACTTTAAATATATACATACACACACACATATATATTTCCAATTCTACCATTACCTGACACTAAAATGTAACTCTTTACTCTTGTGTTCGCCTTTAGTCTCATAATCACATTCCCTTGGGCTAGGATAAGCCAAGGTTAAGAAAGGCATAATATGTTACTAGTGGTATCAGTCTCTCCCAGAAATATGATGCTGCCATTGGTTCTATTCAACATGCCACCATGGCAGGTAGGTCCACCCATTTTAAACGTTATCTTTCCTTGTGCTCAGTCTTCAAGGAAAAAAAAAACTATACAAATGGGGGAAAAAATGCATACAATCTACTCTTGAGGAAAAGAAGTACTTGACAAATCTGATGATAGCAAAGCTAAGCACATGGCGTCCTCCATGTGAAACTGAAGAGCAGCCTTAAATGAACAGCTGTGCATAACTCAGGTTTGGACCATCTCCAGAGAATGGTAAAGGACTTCTGAGTCAAGGTGTTTTCCATTTAAGAAAAACATTCAGTGGTTTTTGTTGTTACTGTCTTCCCCCCACCCCCATGAAAACCAAGCAGAATATAGGCACTAATGCTACAAATAACAGTGTCCATGAGAAGAGAAAGCTGTCTGCATTTTTCCTAACTACAGGATTGGCTTTCAGCTTCAGCCACAGTGTTCCCGGAGAGGAAACCAAGAGGTAGACTCAGGGTTATAAAAACAATGTTTTCTGTGCTGAATTCTGTGGTCATTGTATTACTCTCAGCATTGTTCTATATAAACCATATTAAGTATACTTCCATTACACTTACCTTCTACGTACCCAAAATGATTATTTAGATATACATTACCAATTACAAGAAGAAAAATTCAACAGATGTTTAATTCAACGGCAGCTATAATAATAGTGTTTAAACACTCAATAAACAAGTTCTCAGATATCATTTCCCTATTTTTATAACAACTTCCTACTCCACAAACATAAATTTCTACCTGTGACTGAGCAAAGTTTGTATTCACCATATATAAGTTCAGGTAAAGCGGCCAAGATTACTTCTGTCTAGACCATTACAGGGCAACTCATACCTAAACCTTTACCTTAAAAAAAGAAAGAAAGAAAGTCCTTCAGCATTCACTCATCAACACTAACCTTGCTGCTCACTGTCTGCTTCACTTTTCGAAGAACCTGGTGCAACAGGAAGGGGTCGAGGTGGCCGGGGCTTTGGTGTGGGAGGCGAGATTTTTTTCCTTCCAATATATTCTACGTATGTTCCCGGAAAGTCTCCCCTCTCACCCGTGGTTTCATTATAGCCATTCAACCAGCCAATTTCCTCAGGCCTGGCTTCCTGTCCATCACTGAATCCAAGAGCTACCAAAGACCCTTTATTCACAGTCAATATATCCCCCAAATGCAAGTCAATGTCTTCTTCTCGTTCCTTTTTATAATCATAAAGCGCTCTGTACTGGTACCCCTCAGCACTCATGTTTGCCAGTCGGTAACCATGCAACAGATGACTCTGGTTATATGCTGCAATCTAATTTTACGTTTCTATGGAAAGCAAATTCAGAGAGTGTGTTAAAAATCCTAATAAGTGTCCAGCAGAGGACAAAGGACAATGCCCCAAAGGTTTAAGAGGAGAGGTGGCTGGCCATCCGGCTGTCCATCTGTCCTCCATCAATGGGGTGTGTGACTGAAGACAGGGCTCCACTTCCTCTTCGTGCCACAGTCCTCCCACTGGCTTCCTTTTCAGCAACTCTGTCAACACTTGACTCCAGACTGACTCTCACAGCGAGGCCCGATCCTTTCCAAAGCTCTTGTCACACTGTCCATCTGTCGTCTGATTTTACTGTTGCACTCCACACACAAGCTGCACCTAGCAAAAGAAAAACAAGACTTATGAATGAACTTCACACTTTGCCATCTGTGTGAATTTTAATTTGTATTTCCATTCAACAAGTACTTAATCAATTTGGCAGACGTACACAGGCCTATGTGCTATTGCTCGACACAGGATTAGCAAGACAGTCCTTTGCCTTCTAAGAATATTTGGCGGGGGGTGGATGTGGCAATGTCTCAGAGGTAAGGCTGGTACACAAGGAACCATAACACTGAGTTCATGCCATCAGAGACTAAACGCCATGAGTTTCAATGGAGAGAACAACTAAATCGAAATGCAGGAATAAGAAGACATGCAGTGATGCAATGGGTGGCGTAATCTTAGGTACAGATGTGACTGAGCAAATGTCATGTTCTGGGAAGAGCTAGGACAAGCAGTCCAATGTGTCTGAAGCCAATGAGGGAACAATGGGACGCAGGTTAGAAAAGGCAGGGCAGGCCATATGACCTCATGTTGAATTTGTGAGTAATTGAGCACACAGTGGGAGCCGCTGAAAGGAGAGCAATAGGTTCAGAGCTGCATTTGAGGAATCTCAACCTGACCACAGGGCACAGGAAGAGGGACTGGAGTGGGCAGAGAAGAGGTGAGAAAGGCTGTGGAACATGTATTGCAGCACTCTGCGCAGGAAACCATGAAGGCAGGAATCAAAGTGTCAGCAGAGTGAATAGGAAGGGGAGGACCAAAGTAAGAAACACTGCACAGAGAGAATCTATAGGATTTGGCAAATGCTTAATTATGGGGCAAGAAGGAGATAGAGAAGAGCAAGAGGTACCTGTTCCTGTGGTAATGAGAAGAATTTTGTTACCACTATCAAGCTAAGGGAAGCCAGGAGGTATGACCAAACACAAGCGTGCTACCAGTTGCAGTGGAGCTGACTCTGAGTCACAGTGACCTCAAGCGATTCTGAGCGGAACTGCTCAATAGGGTTTTCAACAGCAGTGACCTTTCAGATCACTAGGCTTTTCTTCCAAAATCCCTCTAGATTCGAACCACCAACCTTTAGGTTAGTAGTCGAGTACTTACTTAATCATTTTTGCCACCTAGGGATTCCACAAGGTGCTAGGGGGTGATTAAAACCATAGTCTGTGATTCAGGAGAGGAAATACACTAGAGATTTAGTAACCAGCAGCAAATAAGGCACGACTGAACTCAATGGAATAGAGGAGCTTGTAAGAAATAATTAAAAGTTTAAAAAAAAAAAAAATGATCCAAGGACTGAACACTGAGTTTCAGTAAAGGGAGCCCTGGTGGTGTACATGGTTCAGTGCTCAAATGTTAGCTGCAAGGTTGGCAGCTCGAACCCACCCACCTGCTCTGTGGGAGAAAGACTTGGCAATGTGCTTCCATAAAGATTAAACCCTGAAAACTCCATCGTGCAGCTCTACTCTGCCACATGGGGTCATCATCTGTGCAATCAACTCCATGGTACCTATCAATAACAAAAGGCAGCTGAGAAAGGAAAGATTTAAAGACAATGTGATATCCTAAGAACAAAGGATAAGAGGGTTCAAATAGGAAAAGGTGATCATTAAGATTAAATCCTGCAGAGGCATCCAGAAGGGGAAGACTGAGCGAAGGCTAGGTAAGTTGGAACCTGTCCACTGAGTGATAGTCACCAACTTTTGAGAAAGCAGTAGTAAAGTTAGTAAAGGCCCTGGCTGCACAATGGTTAAGCACTTGGCTGCTAACTGAAACATCAGTGGTTTGCACCCACAAGCTTCTCTGAGCAAGAAAGATGTAGTAGTCTGTTTCCATGAAGATTTCAGCCTTGCAAACCCAACAGGGCAATTCCATACTGTCCTATAGGGTCACTGTGCAAGAGTAACTAGATAGAAAGGAGCTACAGAGTTGAGAGGAAACAGAGACCACTGCTGCACATGACTCTGAAGCTATCATCAGTGGAGGGGGATATCGGTAACAAAACTTCCCCTTCCCCTCCTTTTCTTTTCTCTTTTAAAACGTGGCAGCAGCAGAGGAGTCAGAGTGATTAGAGAGCCGGTAACTGATAGAACAGCAAGAACATGTATACACTGTGCCCTACAGTGAGGCCTTAGCATTATCTCTATCATAAAGAGAAGCGACTTAAAGGGTTCAGCTAAGCTGGCTGCACAATAAAGCAATAATAATAATAATAATAAAAGCCTCATAATTTTAGTGTGCTCCATCAAGGAGAGCTTTTGTAAGTTTTGGAAAGTGGAAACTTTAGAAATCCAATAATATAGGTACACCAGTGTGGGCAATTTAAGAAGCAAAACGTAATCACAGATTAATTGTTATTCTGGCAATCAGATGTGTGAAGTATTCAACTTTACATGGTTAAAGCCTCTTAGCTGTAATACAGTAACACTCTTAGGAGAGTTACATATTAAAAGAAGCAAAAATAAACACTGGAAGTCTTTGTGTAGCAAGAATATTAATTTGGGCTAGTTCTCTATTCTGCATTTCAGTAAGAGGGGGGAAAAAATTAAAGCAGTCAGCAAGGCAAATGAGAAAAATACTCTATATTCTGTTTGAGGGCTGCCTCTCCTTTTGATAGGTCCAAAATCAAATGAAACATTCACCGTATGAATTGACACAAAAATGTAGAACTAGCAAATCTCATTTTTAGTACTAATACACTCTGTAAAATTGAGACACAGAATTCTACAGGACATGCAAATCTGCATATCCCTAAATGCCTGGAAACTAGGCAACATGCCTGAGAATAATTTAACTCCTCCAAATCTGCCTTGAAATTTTTGTTAGTTTTTGTGGGCATTACATGCCTTTTTGGGAAAAAGTCCTCCACCACCAGCAGGCTGGGTGGATCTTTCTGCTTTCTAGCATGTCCTCTATTTCAGCCATGCAGTGGGCCCCTTTGTTGGGATTCTTCACATAATGGGTATATAATGATGGACTCTATCCTCTTCACCCCTAAAATGTCCCCAGCAACACCCAGGTCCCTGCCCACAGCACACCTACGCAGATGTCTCTGCTCCTTGTTAGGGACCACTGTAGTAAGAAAAGGCTCCATATCTGGGCAGAAATGAAATTCACAAGGTCAAGGTTTGATAAACCTGAAAACTGTGCTTAAGCCTGCCTAATGTTAAATCTTTGCAAAGGGAAAAGGAATCTTCAGGAATTAACAGATGACTTTAAAGAGGCTGGACCCTTGATTCACAACCGCTGCCAAGTGAACCAAAGACCTAACCTTTTGCTGTCAGGTCAACTCCAACTCATGCCTACATGCCGACAAATTCTCCCTCCCTTGCCATTTACACAATAAGTCTTTTTTGTGCAAAAGAACCCTGTACAGATCTCTATGCCCTCTCTGATAAAAAGAATTCCAGACCTTGTATGACTCTAGGATTATAAACAGAACATATGAGCCTCTGATTCTGTCTTTGGAATCAAAATAAGGAAGACTGATGCAGACAGAACAGGTAAATAATTCAAGGTCAGCTACAATTTGGTGTCAATTAAGTGGTTTCAGAACAATGTTGTCAGAGAAGGAGAGAAGACAAGCATTTGGGCGGGAATTAAACAGTTGGTAGAGAGACCTTGCTGGGCAGAGCAGGCAGGTGCCTCTACCCTGTGCACACCATAATGCCTTCCCCTGACTGACTGTTGTCATCGTCATCACCATCATCATCATGAATACTTACAGGAAGAGCTTAATGTGCACTAGCCCATTCAATCCTCCACATACCCACATGAGATAGGTACTTTACATATGAGGAAAGTGAGATGCAGAAGACTTTAAGTATCTTGGCTATGATGACAGCAATGGGGAGGTGGAAACCAAAACACCAAACCCACTGTTGTCAAGTTAAGTCCAACTCATTGTGAGCCCAGGTGTTACAGAATAGAACTGAACTCCATAGGGCTCTCTTGGCTGTAATCTTTATGGAAGCAGATTGCAAGGCCTTTCCTTTTTTCCAATTACCACTGGATGGGTTTGAACTGCTAACCTTTCAGAGAGGTAAAACCAGAATTTAAATCCAGGCAATCTGGCCCCAGGCCCTCCTCCTTTTAACAAACACTAGCACCTACTTCCCAAATTCAACTTGCTTTTGCTGCCCAAACCAAATCAAACTCACTGCCATCAAGTCAATTTCAACTCAGAGACCCCCCCCCTTTGGGTTTCCAAGGCAGTAAATATTTATGGAAGTAGATTATCTGGTCTTCCTTCCGCAGAGTGGCTGGTGGGTTTGAACTACCAGCCTTCTGGTTAGCAGTCAAATGCCTTAGGCACTCTGCCACCAGGGCAGTTCAAATATATCAGCGGAGTCAGTATATACGATTCTTTGTCAGCATACTCTGACATCTCAGATTCACCCTTTTACTCTCTGGAAGAGCAACCTTACTGGTGAACCTACTTGGAATACTGTATGTGGCTTCTTCACAACCACAGTGCACAAAAAGAATCCAGTAAAATGCAGTAGCAGTTCCACTATGTCCAAGACCCAGCATCTCTGACCATGCAAATTTTTTTCTAAAGAGACTTCATTAAAATGCATCTTTGCCAAAGGCAGCCAAATCCAGTGAATAAAAGAATACTAGACACACAATTTCTGGAAGGCTGCCCACTTCTGGAAAACTGCCCA